CACACACAGAAGCACGTCCAGGCTGATCACAGACCCGAATTCCAGAGTGCTCCACAAGCCATCCAGGTCATGAGAAATAAAGAACATTGAGAAACTGCCACAGAGCAGAAGAGACTAAGAAGACACGTCGACTAAATGCAGTGGGCTGGCCTTGAGTGGATCCTGGAACAGACAAGGGACATTAGCAGAAGAACAAAAACACAAATAATGTCTGTAATGTAGTTAACAGTATTTTGCACCAATGTTAGTATATTGATTTTGACAAATGTACCAGAGCTGAGGACGATGTCGATATCAGAGGAAACTGGATGAAGAGCATATGAAAACTGTGCACTATCTTTGTAAGTTCCCTAAAAATCTGAAAGTATTCATGATAACAAGTGTACTAAAAAAAAATGCAACTGCATGAACGCAGTTTTGAAATGAAGATCAATCTTTTATATATGGTTACACAGTTTCTTGTTTTAATCTTTAAGCTAAAACTGAATTACAAATAACATAACAAAACCTATAGCTAGAGTAACTGCAGGGAAGGCCACCTAGGAACTACTGGCCTGAGATGATTCCTACTAATTTTTAAGGAAAGCTGGGAAGGATTCTCTGCAAGCAGCATCTGACGGAGAAGGAGCAGAAATCGGAGGCTAAAACATCTCTATCATAAAAGGACACCAGCAGACGCTGCTATGAAATGGCTATCAGTACATTTACTCCTGAGACTTGAGATCAGCTACACTTAGAGGAACTTACACTATAGCAAAGTGGGGGGATTGAGTAGGATCGAGATCCTGGGATGGTCCAAATATCAAGAAGAAAGGAAAACCAGGAAATAAACGAGTGAGCGTGAGAAACAACTAGGCTCCCTCACAGGTGCAGAAACAGAAGGGGGGTACGTTTCCCTCATTTTGACTCTGACATCATGTTGTCCTTGCTGCCAGGAATGAAATTTCAGCCCGCCTTGTGAGTTCTGTTACTTAGATCTTCCTCAGTTTTATTTGAAGGCCTGAAACTCATTTACAACAGTTTCTCTGGATAATTATTTTTGAGATCGAAACAACTGTCTTAAAAACTGAGCTTCAGGAACAAACTCATTTGTTAACCAGAGACTACATATGTAATGAGAAACGCGTCCTGAGAAAATGAATTTATGGAACTGGGGAGCTTCCCAGGTGGCTCAGTGATAAAGACTCTGTCTGACAATGCAGGAGACGCAAGAGATGTGGGTTCAATCCCTGGGTGAGGAAGGTCCCCTGGAGTAGGAAACGGCAACCCACTCCAGTATTCTTGCCGGGGAAATCTCATGGCAGAGGGCCTGGAGGGCTACAGTCCCTGGGATCGCAAAAGAGTCAGACAGGACTGGGCAACTGAGCGCCAACAGAACAACACCAGGGAGCTACAATGTTACCTGATTTTTAAGAAACCGTTAAGGATATTTATGATAGTCGTATCATTAAAACAATTTGCAAACAGATTTTTTAATATCCCTACTTACATTTTTTAAATTTAAGGACACTGAAGTATAATTTATATTTTCTTTAGGGAAAGCTGTTTTATAAATAAAACATGTTTACAGGCCAATGAGAATTGAATATTAAATGCTATTTACAAACACAAGTTGCAAGTAACTTAATCAGAAGAAATAAAAATACAGTCATATATGAGAACAATCAAATATCATAATTCTTCTTTTCTACAAAATCCTTCAACTGTATTCATTGCTATTATCACATAAGCCATAGTAACTGTGCAGAAGAAATGCATTTGGCGCAATCTGCAGTACCAGTTGGGCAAGATGTTTCTAACAATTAGGAATGAAAATGAAACTGTCCCCAAACCTAAAAGACTATCCATTGCTTAAAATGTATGCCCCTAAAAATGTACGATTATTTAAAAGAGATTAAAAGCTAAAAATACACTTAAAAAGTAAAAATATAGACTTGTCTAGCCCCTACCGGTGTACAGTCAGCTTCAAGGGGGGAAAATGTTACCAAAACTTCTAAAAAAAAAAAGTTTATATTTAATTTCTATAGTATTTTACTATTTACACAAATATCCTTTTGAGCCTCACAACAACCCTGTGAGGTAGGAAAGCGTTATTATATCCATTTTACAGAGGTGAAGACTTGGGATCAGGAAGATTAAGTCATTTACAAAGTTGTGTAGTGAGAAAGCACTGCATCAAGAAATGGAATCCAGTTACTTGATTTTAAAACGGTGGCTCTTTCCCAGACATACTTAGTAAAAAAAACTAAAACAAACCCGGAAGGGGAGCGTACATATTCATATATACACATAAATGTACACTTCCTTTATGGAAATTATGTCCCTGAAATAGGAATAAAAATAAAGTTTTACTTTCCCATTGAGTTAATTATCATTTTGGAGACTTATCTTTTATCAGTTTGGATTAATCTCCAACACAGAATTTTAGCTATAAGTTATTTCCTCTTTCATTATTTGACAAACACAACATTTTATAAACCAAAATTTAAAACAAGAGGTGTTTCTGTACTTCATTTCTTTTTGGAAAAGCAAACAATCCCAAATAATTCTAATAAACATCTTTAATTCATACACTTTGAATTTGTATGTATCTCTTTCCTATAATAAGGATAACCTTTTCATTCAGTTAAATTTCAACTGGCCAAACCAAAGGCATACAATTTTGATAGAAATTCAAAACTATGAGCTACCTACTACTGTCTTTTTTCAATAAGTGTTCTAACAGAAAATGCACTCATTTGCAATCTTTTTCTTGTTCCAATGCATCTAAATGATGCAAAACTCTGCAGGAAGCAGCAGGGATTCGTTGCCACAGAGGTTCCAGGGCAGGGAGGCAGACAGTCTGCAGGAGGGAACGCAAGACAGTTTTAAGAAGCCCCAACACGCCGCCCTGAGCCCCCCACCAATGAACTCCTCTCTCCTATGAGAGCTAATGAATCAAAAGTGGGGTAATAATACCAGGACTTTTTCACTGAAATCACTTCAAAAATAGTGCTTCATGAAAAAAAAAATTAATCGGGCTTCCCTGGCTCAGTGGCGAGGAAATCGCTTGCCAAGGCAGCAGACACGGGTTCGATCCTTGGTCTGGGAAGACGGCACAGGCCGCAGAGCAGCTTAGCCCGTGCGCCCAATCGCTGAGCCTGCGCCCCAGAGCCTGGGAACCGCAACTACGGAGCCAGCCTGCTGCAACTGCCGCAGCCCGTGGGCCCCAGAGCCTGCGCCTGCAGTGGGAGGAGAAACCCGCTCACTGCAGCGGGAGTGGACCTTACTCGCCGCAGCTAGAGAAAAGCCCACAGAGCCAAAAACAAAACAAAACAAATTAATCAGCCCCATCCCTCACCCAGAGGCGTCCTTGCCGGAACTGAACTCCAGCCAAAAACCCACACCAAAAATAAGCTGCTCACTAGCCGAAGCCTATGCCAAATCTTTATTATGGATCTAGTTTTGCTCTACTGACTTTGAAACTTCCACCATAATAAATTATTATTGTAAAACAGTTATTTATGGACTGAAAGGGAAAAACATCATTTGCCCTAATAAAAAGATATACATAAAAAGTCATTCACAGAGTCAAAATACTGCTCAAAGAAAACTCATTTTTGATATTTCTAATCAAAATAATCCCTGGAGAAGGAAATGGCAACCCACTCCAGTATTCTTGCCTGGGAAATTCCATGGACAGAAGAGCCTGACAGACTACAGTCTGTGGGGTGGCAAAGAGTCAGATACGATTGAGCGACTTAATCAAAATAATACTCAAAGTAAACTAACCTCTTACAGCTACAAAGTATTGATTCATTCCGCAAACATCTTGCTATATTATGTGACTGCCTAAGCCCTTCTCCTAAGGGCTCATGATCTGGCCATCAGATTAAAACTTAAAATTCTGCAAATTGGAGTTCTCTTTCAATACTTCCCATCTTAAAGAATAAAGAATATATTCTGTTTTATCATCTCTGACTCCAAAGCAAGCCAGATGGTGTAATTAAGCTTTTTAAAAAAGTAGATGTATACACACACACACACACACACACACACATATATATATAGCTATTAAAATTTAGAATCACAGCCTAACTCCGGTAATTAGGGATCTCAAAAGAGCTGTGTGCTTTCGCTTTTAGCCAGACGAACATGCAAACTCACCACAACAGAAGAACTGCTTATACTCTTTCATTCTCAAGAGCAATGTTCAACAATATACTCCTTGCTAGTTTTGCCACTCTTTAACGGTAAAGAATTTCTGAGATAACAAGCTAAAAAAACCAAATCTGTACCATTTTCAAGCCACTTCCTCTAGTAGACATTTTCCTCTCACAAAAATCTTCACATGCCGAAACATGTATTTGATAATACTTTCATTAAACTTCCACCATCTATGCTGACCATCTATGCTCAAGCTTACCCAACAGCGTAGACTGTTTCCCTATGACCATTCTTAGCCTTCTCTGTAATTCATCTCTCTTTAAAATCCAGTGATCAAAACAGGACATGCCACTCAAAAGGAAGTAAAGCTATTGCAAAGAATAGAGAAAGGACTACATCCGTGACCTTGGATGCCATACTCATTTAAAAATATTTCAGCACCATGCTGACTTCTTTACTGACTCATATTCAGCCTGTGGTCACCCATGATTGTGGCTTTCTTCCTTCTTTATTTATACCTAGACTGTCCTTCTTCATCCTATATTTAAATTGTTGGACTTTTTTTTTTCCCCTCCACACACTTAATTTCACCCCATTTCACAGAGTTTTCGTAGATCCATTTTCCCATTTATCACAACACTCCATAGAAATGTTTACATCTGCAATTTATAACAACTACTGTTTATGCCTTAACAATATCAAGACTGTGAACACAATATTGTAAATCCACTATACTTCAATTAACCAAAAAAAAAAAAATCCAGACAAGAAAGTACGTATATAACACAACATACACTGCACTTTACAAGTAACAGCGGAACGAAGGCTAAGCTCATTGCCTGCTGGAAACCTACCTCCACTGGACCGTCGCTCTTTACCAGTGCTATACGTGCCCGCTGCAGGGAACCGTCCATCAGCTTGTGAAGCCTTAAAATCAGCTTCCTCAACCCCATTTGCTTCAGTGCCTTGTCTACAAAGGGTCTATAGATAGAAGTCAGACAGTGTCTACTAACGCCTGCCTCCGCGCTGCAGTCTGGGGCTCCCCAGCCGACACACTCGTCCTCGGACTCCAGCCTCTCGAGCTTCTTCGGGGCATGGTGCGGGGGCGGCTGGACGTGGGGACTGCGGGCGGCGGGCGGCCGGGCCTGCGGTGCCTGCGGGCCGCAGCTCGGCTCATCCTCACTCTCCTCCGTGCTGCTGGCCAGCTCCTTCAGTTCTTCCACGTCCTCGGCCTCGTCCTCGGGCTCGTTGCCTCTGGACGATCGCGGGGAGGGGATTTCAAACACCGGCCAGCCAATGTCTGATAAATTCTTGATGCCCAAAACGGTGCCCATAATCCGTAATTTCTGGTTTAAGTCTTTTGTGATGTTTAACCACAAACAGAGTGCCTGCACCCTGTCCTGGAAGTCCTTGGCAGCGTACTTCTCGTAATCCTTCTGAAGAGCCTGCAACGACGGGTAAAGTGCCTCTATGTACTCCAGTAGCTCCATGATCCGCTTGACCTGCTCGAAGGACACTCTCTGGCGCTGGAGGTGCTCGTGATAGGTTGAGTGACCCGCAGGCTGCGTCCCGCGAGGGGCTCCCAACTGCCCTTCCACCGAAGTACGGCTAAGACTAGCTCCGTGCCTAAGGAAGGCGAAGCTCCCGTAGTCAACTCTGAAGGTGAGGATCTCGTTGATGATGTCCGGGATGGCCTGGCGGGCCGTGTATAAAAAGAGGTCCTGGTCGTTAATGGTCCGGCCGGCGTGCCAGGCTTGCAGCTCTAACCAGATCAGTTCGTTGGAGCGGTTAAACCAGAACGCGGACGTGCTCTCCTGTCCTCTTTGCTCCCGGTCCTTCTTCTTTGAGACTGAGGTAAGCTTTAGCAGAAGTCGGAGAGTCTCAAAGAATTTTAAGCGATCCGCCGGACAGTCAGTCCTGGAAGTCTGGCGGGCGGTTCTGGCTATCGGCACGGGTACAGACACCGGAAGCTTGGCGTTGCTGCAGCCGAGGCTGAGGTAAGGCTTATTGAGGTCCACATCTGGGATGGGCTTCTTGGGCAGAGCCCCCCCCACGGAGTCCAGCATGAATGAGCACTGCACGTTCTTCTTGTGGTCTCGCTCTGTGGACCTGAGAGCCGCTCGGAGCTTTTTCTCCTGCTTGTAGCTGTATTCCTCCACATTCTCCACAGCTTTTCCAGTGTCTTTGTGTGGAGGTTGGTTTGGTGCATTCATTTTTTCTATAAAAAAAAAAAAGTAAGCAGAACATTAACGTTACTCTAAAAGATCAAGCTGTTCTCAACATTTTCAGTAAGACTGATAGCCACATGTATTTATATTTGCAGACTGCCACTGGAGAAAATAATCCAACCGTGTGCTGAAAACTAAGAGAATACACACACACACACAAAACATTTCTCTCTAAACTTTTAAAAAGGTTTCACCCATTTTTCCTGTTACATAATACTTGCTATATTCTCTCATATCCTCCACTACTAGCCTAAAACCAGCTGTTTACCTGTCTACTGCACACTGCGGTCATCCAGGCCATCAGATCCTCACGAGCTGCCACCTTAGACTTGGAACGGGGAAATAGCACGGCAGACCCAACAGCGCCCGACGTAGAGAACATGTCCGTTTCCTGCCTTTGCCGTGAACCAAAGTATCAACTGAGGTCAAATCGGTTCAGTTTTCTGGGTTACTTCTGTCATTTGTAAAATCGACTAGACTGAAGAAAGAGCCCTTAAGGCACCTTAAGACTATTCTCATGAAACACTGAAAGACATGGAAGCATTTTTATTTATTCTGTTCCTTGATTTCTTCTCTGCCACAAACAAGTGAACAGTAACATGCTTAATTTAACATTAAGGACGCTGAAGACATATAGCCTAATTTAGTATAATTTGCCTAGTCTATTATCCTGGCACGCAAAAATCATTCAAAATCAATGCAAAGAAAGCAAACATCACACTTTTCCTTCAAAGAACTGTGAATAGTTCTATTAACTGAGTTCCCAAGCTTTGAAATGAACACACGTCTTCCTTCCTGTTTGGCATTTCTGACCCTCTGAACCGTCTCTACCTCACAGAAACCCCTCCATTCTCTCTTTTCTAGATGCAGCTTTTTCAGGGCTGTCTTCTGCTTCTGAAGTCACCCCTTTCCAAAGTCTGGGACCTCGGCTCACTCCATGAAAAGTGCATGTTTCTCAAAGTTCTCCTCTCTTGGGTCTCTGCCTCACTGACTTCTCCCTGGATGACCCTCACATGCCCTTCACACACTGACAACGCCCAAGCCTACAACACCATCCCCGTGGCCCCTCTACACTCAAGGTATAGTTTGTCTCCTTGAATCCAGGACAGGCATTTTGCATTTTAACTTCTCTGAAATTAGAGTATGTTTTATAATTAATGGTAATATAGACAACTTTTAGGAAAATATTCACTAATATGTTTCATTTATATTTTCCTTTATATACATATGCACAAGAGTAATAAATAGCTTTTAAAAATTTATATCTAAATATCAGAAAGTATAAAAGAGTTTTTTAGATAAATAATTAAAAATTCTAAGTGTAAGAATATATTGTGAATCAATTATAAGCATTTTTTCTTAGTATATAACAGCATAGTATGCCTATAGATTTTATGCAATAGGGTATATTTATATGATTACAGACTAACATACCCAAAATCAATTTGCAGAATAATATAACTTTGCTAATGTTAATTTAACAAAGAAAATTTGTTCAAAACCAATATATCTCCAAATCAATTTAACTTAGTTTTAAAGTAAGGATTTTTCAAACAAGTATTTCTAAAAGCACTTCCAATTTGATTTACATACATTCAATTTATTTTATGATCCATCAAAAAAGATTTTCTTTGTCCATAAGGATTTGTGTTTTAATAAATATAAAAATAATATTATTTTTATAAATAATAAAACTATTATTACATTTTAAATTAGCAATACTTTTAACCAATGGAAATTTTATCTGTTATTTTAATCTACTTTACTCTACATGTCTTAAAACTTTTTATACAGCCCATTCAAGAAATTTCTTCACTCAGAATGGCTATCGTCAAAAACAACACAAATAACAAATGCTGGCAAGGACGTGGAGAAAAAGGAATCCTCCTATACTGTTGGTGGGACTCTAAACTGGTGCAGTCACTGTAGAAGTTTCCTCAAAAAACTAAAATCAGAACTACCACTTGACTCAGTAATTCCAGAAATTATAAATGTTCTTCTAATCCATGATTTAAAGATCCTAAGGGAAACAAAGGGTTAACTGGGAGTTGTTGCTCTTTAATTGCTAAGTCCTCTGTCCATGAGATTCCCCAGGTAAGAATACTGGAGCAGGTTGCCACTTCCTTCTCCAAGGGATCTTCCCAACCCAGGGATTGAACCCGTGGCTCCTGCATTGCAGGCGGATTTACCACTGAGCCACCTGGTAGCTGGGATACTCTAACAACACAGAAGACTGCATTATGAACTTTAAGCCCAAATCGATGCTAAACTTACCCCAGAGCTAACAATCAAAGCATTAAAATATCAAGAGATGAAGTTTCTCAGCCTTGACCTTTATTTTAACAATTAAAAAGACTTAAGAAGGGAAATGCTATAATCCCACTTTTCTGTAAATACAGAATCAAATTTTAGCAAGCCTAGAGACCTAAGTTTTGCAGATTATATACACATCTTGAGAAGCCTATCTTATAGCATACAAATGGTATATTAAACAATTTTTTTTGAAATTTTGTACTTACAAAAAGCAATGAATGATTCAGTATTTGGATCTACAACGTGTATAAAGGAAAGTAAATTGGGAAAAGAGGAAGATAAGACAAATAAACTATATTTTTTTCCAAAATAAAAAGCCAAATTGGTAAAAAAAAAAAAAAAAAACTGATATACCATTAAAATGACATAATTTAAACTGAAAATAGACTCAAGCTCCAGTCTAGCTACCGTGCAAAAAGAAAATACCAACCTTTTCTTGTTTAGTTTTCTGCCCACACTAAATCCCTCTGCAGTGGACAGAAAGTCAAACAGAGTTTCTGGAAAGGAGAGTGGGTCAAAAGCATACAGAATGCTTTATACAAGTGCTAATTACGGTACTACACAACTAATTCATAATGACTTAAATAAGACTAATGGACAGCGATCTCCCAAGTGGCTATAAATTCCGTGGTGTGATTCTGCAATACTGTTAAAACCTTCCAAGAAGTTACTACTTCCTTTGGCAGATTACCAATAACTCCTGCCAAATCAGAAAAACATGAAAGGAACAACAACAACAAATTGTATAATAAAACCGAACGCAAACAAATGACAAGCAATATGAATCACTGGTTTCAACAGATCTAAGACAATCAACTGAATTCCTTGCAATTCACACCTAGAAATGACACTTTAGAATATGCATAAAAGGTAAGTTTTATCAAGCCCCTGCAACTCTTACGTTCTTTCATCCATGTATGTCAAATTCAAAACACCAGCCCTCTGTGATACCTCAAATGAGAAAGATACCTGGCTCTTTAACTGAGAGATGATATTTATGGCAATGATATGCTCGACTGTCGATATTAGCAATCTGAAGGGACTTAAGAGATCCCCTAACCTAAGGTTCTCAAACTTCAGTCAACATTAAAGAATCACTCAGATTCCTGCTACAATGCAGATTCCCGGGCCCATTCCCAGGGAGTCTGATTCAACTGGGCTAGAACGACACCACCACATTTGGGAAAACACTGCTTTATTCAATCTCCCCAATTCCGAGGTAAGGGCTTTATAGAGACTGTCATCATCTTCACAACAACACGTGATGGAGAGGACCGCATCACACAGATGGTCAGACAGATGGGAACGTCCCGACAGGGATCCTACTGTGACTCATGTCCACGTCAGAGATGCTCCCAGGGCAGGACCGTGTGGCCAAGGAAAGCCCAAGGTGCCGAGTGCCATAAAAGACAGACTACGGAGGGCTACAGAACTCGTCTGGAGAAGAGCTAAGACCAGGTACTCATCTGGCTGACGGCCTTGAAGAATGGGGTCACCTTAACTAAGGGCAGAAAGGAAGGCAAGGGAATATTTTAAGCCAGACAATAAACATGCAAAGTGACATGAAGGCAGCGAAGAAGAGAGTGTGGCTACAACAGTGAGCCTCCAAGTATATTGGTAGACTGTAAAATTAAACCAAAACTTTGAGAGTTGGGCTGGATTTGGATTAAAGAGCTGAAATACAGATGCAAATTCACTCTGGTTCACAGCAAACATTTCTCTAACTATATCGACTGAATCTCATTTATAACCATTTTATCAGATCAATTTTATAAGTATGTTATTTAAAAAAAAAAACTTGGTAATCTCACCATGTTAGCAAAAATCACACATGCACAGACACACACACCCTGAGATATTTGCTAATGGTAAGGAGATGAATCTGTGTACACGCATGTGCACATGTGTGTACAGTATGTACAAATTCTGATACTCGGATCTCTGTAACCTGGCTTTTACAGTGTTATATTACTGCCGCAAAATGGAGCCCGTGTTGGTCACAGGGCAGGCTTGCCCTGAAAAGCGCTCTGACCTGGGGTCTTCGTCCTCATCGAGCCCACTTACACTACGAGACCAACTCGACTTACTTCCTTCTGCTATACTGAGAGAGGCAGTGAGCAGTGGGCATGGTTCAGGCCTGGGACGGAGCTTCCAGTTATAAAAAAATCAGTCTGTAACAGCAGTCGTTATTCTGGGCGGACGATCAGAATATTCAAACAATCAAAGCCACACCATCAGCGTGTGACAACGGCTGCCACCTAAAGAAGACAGTGGCAGAGGCTCCTCTCGCCTGCTTCCAGCAGGCAGTGCCCTCAATCACCTCCGGGTGAACTTCCGTTCCTCCGAGGGTGCTCCTGAGGGCGCTTACATTTATAAGGGAGGGGGGCCGGAGGATGCAAAGACAGCGGGACTGACCAGACACTAGGGCCCAAAGCCTCACATGCAGGGAGGAGCGGGTCTCTCGGGACAGCAACAGAACCTCAGCTCCGGGCACGGCCCAGCCCACTCTGGGTGCTGCTGGCCCTGCAGGGCTAAAGAAGGCAGCAGCCGCCATGCTCTGAGGCCTCCCAGGCCTTTCAGATTCCACCTGGACCTCCTGAACTAGCGGAAGGAAGCTAGCTGTCACTTAAGAAGTCCCGTTATCTGGGACCGGGGTGCTGTGAAGAAGGCCAGGCCAGCCACGTGGCAGGTCACACGGAAGAAGGACCATGCCAACCAGCTCTCCGCCCAGGTGGCAGGGTCAGAGAAGGAGCCATCCCAGACATCAGAGACCCAGCAGACTCCACGTGGAGAAGACGCGGGGGCCCGGCCGGGCTACGACGGCACCGCCAGCCACCTGCGCTGTGCCAGCTACGGCCCCAGACATCACCGGGCAGAGGAGCTGCAGGCTGCCCGGACAGCTGCCCACAGGGCCGTGAGCACAGAACGGGGCTCCTTTGGCGCGGTCTGCACGCAGCGACAGACGGCCGGAAACCTGAGAGGACCACTGGTGACGCGCATTAAAGAGACGAGCGCCACTTTCACACAGTTCTGGAGTGCAGGGCATGAGTCAGGCAGCCTTCGTCACAGAGAGAAAGAAGGGATGCATCTGTTCCTGTTTCCTTGGGAAGCTTTGAAAATAAGTCTGGCCAATCTAATTAACTCTAAAAGGCCCTTGAAAACACTGAGAGACCAACATACTATGACGAATGACAAATGAGTCTGAAACACCGTCTCCAGAGCTCCGCCTTCGGGTCACAGCCGGAATGCCGCTTGCTCCCGAAGCCTTCCCAAGCCCAGGTCTGCTCCGGCCCTCCTGAGGGCGCCCGCAGCAGCCCCCTTGCTCGCCCACACAGGTAGGGCAGCCTGCTCATCTCGTGCCTGCGACTGGAGACCAGCAAGGGCTCATCCATCAGCCAGCACAGCACCTGCCTCGGCAGCCACCCAAGCTCTGAGTCAGAGGAGAGGGGGAGGGAGAAATAAGGGGGAANTCTTATCTATATTTTCAATTTAATTGTTTAAAAGTTTGTGCAGCATTTATATTCCTCATTAGAATATTTTGTTATTTAAATATTGGTGTAAATCTAATGTTTGCTCTTGCTTTAGACTGTTATTCATTTTTTTTCTTCCTTTAGTTGGCTATTTTAAACTATGGACTTAATGTTTAAGATGATTTTATCATAAGCAGTCCTGGTAAGCTAGATTGGAAGACGATTCTATTTGGTCTTTGACAGATGTTCTGGGACATTGCATCATACTATTATTTTTATTTTATGTGTAACAGGATTGTTTCAACATCTTTTGAAAAAATTTTTAAGATATGCTTATTTATATTTTTTGAACCCATGAATATTAAAAAGCAGAGACATTACTTTGCTAATAAAGGTCCATCTAGTCAAAGCTATGGTTTCCAGTAGTCATGTATGGATGTGAGAGCTGGACTATAAAGAAAGCTGAGCGTCAAAGAATTGATGCTTTTGAGCTGTGGTGTTGGAGAAGACTCTTGAGGGTTCCTTGGACTGCAAGGAGACCAAACCAGTCAATCCTAAAGGACATCAGTCCTGAATATTCACTGGAAGGACTGCTAAAGCTGAAACTCCAATCCTTTGGCCACCTCAAAGAACTGACTCCTGGGAAAAGACCCTGATACTGGGAAAGACTGAAAGCAAGAAGAGAAGGGGACAACAGAGGATAAGACGGTTGGATGGCACCACCGACTCAACAGACATGAGCATGATATGCTCTGGGAGCTGGTGAAGGACAGGGAGGCCTGGCGTGCTGCAGTCCATGAGGCTGCAGAGCTGGACACGACTGAGCGACTGAACTGAACTGAAGCAGAGAGACGACCGGGCAAAAATGGCAAAAGTTATTTTCGCATGTTGGGTTTACGGGTATCTTTCTTTTCTTTTTGTCAGCATTTTCTAAACTCCCTAAACAAACGTGTCATCTCTTGCAACAAGAAAAAAACATAAGAATAAGAACGTTGATGCCCGGGGTCTGCTTTCAGGTAGCTACAAGTCAAAGGTTCATGAGCATTCCTTCCTCACGTGCAAAATGGCAGGAATTAAAGTGGTCTCTGACCTCTTCCAGACCTAAAATTCTGTCATTTCATGAAATAAACCATTGAAAGAAGTTGAGGAGGAAGACAGACAATCTCCCCTCTACCTTCTATCTCTGGCACAGCCCAGAACAACAGCAGGAGCTCAACAAGTATCCAGAGACTGGTTTTCTGACTGATAAGGGACGATGCATGGTCATCTCAATGGGCTTCCCAGGTGACTCCATGGTCAAGAATCTGGCTGCCCAGGCACGAGATGCAAGAGACGTGGGTTCAATCCTTGGGTCGGGAAGAGCCCCTGCAAGAGGAAATGGCGACCCGCTCCAGTGTTCTTGCCTGGAGAACCCCATGGACAGAGGAGCCTGGCGGGCTGCGGTCCAGGGGGTGGCAAGGAGCTGGACACGGCTGAGTGACTGAGCACACAGAGGCATCTCAAGCAGCACATTCGGAGCTTGACCCCTGATGCTCGAACCGGGAACAAAGTCCAAACTGAGGCCCAGGAGAACCAACTCTGAAATCAGTGCTGGAAATTCCTTGGCGCCAGTGGGTGAGGACTCTGCATTCTCACTGCTGAGGACTTGGGTTCAATACCTGGTCAGGAAACGAAGATCCCACAAGCTGCACAGCATGGTCAAAAAAAAAAAAAAGTACCTAAAAGTAGTCCTGCCGCTATCTCAAGCCTTCTGGCCGTTCAGTCCTGCCGCTATCTCAAGGCTTCTGGCTGCTAAGAAGTTGCTATGAAACCCTGGGCCCCACTTTCTTAATCTGTGAAGGGGGAGAACTGTGTTCTCAACTCCTGTTCTAGAGCTGTTGCTGATGTTTGGTCGCTCAGTCATGTCCAACTCTTCTGTGACCCGACGGATCCATGAGACTCTCCAGGCAAGAACACGGAGCGGGCTGCCATTTCCTGCTCCAGGGGAGTCTTCCCTGCCTGGGGACAGAACTCGTGTCCTGCACTGCAGGCGGAGCCACTACTGCCAAGCCACCAGGGCCATGCCTCCACAACTGTACGGACCAACCAGTAAAGAAAAAGCAGATGTCCTGTTGGCATCGTCACGTTTCAGCGCCACAAAGCAAGTAAGTCATTAACAACACCGACTCAGGAGGTGCTGCTTCACTGATACTACTTTAGATGAGGCACTTCCATAGGCATCCGAGAAATCCTTTTGAGAAAATGGAAGGACTGATTTTAAAGATACTACANAGTAAGTCATTAACAACACCGACTCAGGAGGCGCTGCTTCACTGATACTACTTTAGATGAGGCACTTCCATAGGCATCCGAGAAATCCTTTTGAGAAAATGGAAGGACTGATTTTAAAGATACTACACTGCAATAGAAGGCTATTACTTTCCAAACGGGGTAAATACAGGGCATAGGTTAATATCCTACTACAAATAAAGTTTTAAAAGAAACTAAAAAAAAAAAAAAAACCTTCTTCATAGGAAAGAAAGACTATTTACTACTTAGGAATTCTTCCTTGGATAAGAAGTCATTTGAGCAAACAAGTACAATAAAGTCTCCCCTCCTATCCTTTTTCTTTCTTAGGGAAGGGTTATATATGACAGGGACCCAGAATGGATTTGCTGACATCCAACCACAAGAGGTCAGTGTACAGAAGAAAGGTGTGGGAAAGGGAAGCTGACCAAAAGGAGCAGAAGAACACAGGCTAAAGAAAGGGAGAGCTGGGAATGAGGCTTTCCACTAAGGAGAACATGTGAGAAGGGGAAATGTCTCAGAGGAGACAAGGAGTGAAATCTCAACCTTGCATAATAATAGGTGGATGAATTCTAGGAAGCTAAGAGATCAGCTTTAGGACAAGTGGTTTGCTGAAATCAAGAAAGTTTCTGAAACCGTAAGGCTTTGGTGACCTGAGGTTCCGCATTAGAAAGTAGGCACGAGGAAGCCAGGTCTGCACGATTCAATTCTTCCACCTCAGAAATGAACAGCGGTGACGTGCTCCGAGGAAGGAAGAAACGAAAAGAGAACAGTCTACATCTCCAGGAGCAGAACACCATCTGGGCTTTGGGGTCCCAAACAAAGAGAAAACTGAAACAGAGGTCTGTGCATGGTGACAAGGTACCATTTGGGCACTGTGCTTAGGGTGCAGGAGGCCCCACACACAAGGGCAGAGAGCACGGGGCTCAGGCCGCCCAGAGAACCTGGAGGAGACAGCCGGGCCCTGCCTCTCCCCACCTGCCCAGGACGTCACGTCTGGGAGACAGAATCTAGGCGGTCCCGCCCGAGAGATACGAAGAAGGCAAGAAGGCCACCGATCCGCATACCCGCAGCCAGCCGTCCGGGACGCGCGTGCCAACTGAATCCCCACGGCCGCCTCCGCATCCTAGAAGGAACACGAATGCCTCACTCGCTGGCATGAAGGAACTCAGGACAAGCCTTCCCACCTCTGGAGGGTCAGTTTCTACTTTATCAACAATGTTGCTAATGGTAACAACTCAAAAATGTTAAAAGAAAACTTTCAGGCAGCATATAATCCAATCTAAAAGAAGGGGAGTGACTAACGTTATTATAGAAGGCGTCCATCAACAGGTGCCTGCGGCGCAGAGATGCTGTGCTGTGCCAGGCCCTCTCACGTGTATCTTTTCCAGCGCAAGACTAACCTTTCAGATTCGCGCGGCCGGCGGGCCTCCCGACATTATTCCTCTGGTGCTTGGAGGACATGCGTTTCATCTGCCGAGGCGTGCTGGGAGGAGAGGTGCCATAAAGGTTCTCTGTGTTGGCTTCATCTGAAAAGTCCTCAGGATCGGACTCGGAAATCTTGCAAGCTGAATCTCCCAATGCGTACCCTTGCCTGGTAAAGACAACAAGCGGGTAAAATACTCAGTGACAGATGAAGTGAAAGCAAACTTAAACCACTCCAAGCTCCTTTTAAGAACTCTCCGTAACACTTTTCCGTGCCTCCTTGGCCTCGTATATCTTGCTCCGCTATTGCAGTTGCGGAAACTCACAAGGTGAACGCAGCCACCGTGTTCCCGCTCTCAGCACGCACAGAGAGAACTGCTGTGCAGTTTCTGTTGTTTGGAGAATTCTCTCCAACACAGATGAAGTTTAAAACTAAATGCTTGAGCATCAGGGGGGGAAAAGAGCAAAGAACTGGAAGATACAAATCCGACTGAACTGGGCATTGCTCACATGCTAGGCAGCAACAAGCTAAACTGCTGAGGGGGCAAGTCCTGCCCTGACTTCAGAGGCCCGCTCCTTCGTCTGTGAAGCATACACAGACAGAACAGAGAGCAGGACCCGAGAAGAGCGCGCGGGTAACACGGGGTACAGGCCAGTTCTGTATTCTCTGATCCTCAGCACAGCGCGGCGCCGGGGAGGGGCGTGCGGGGAAGATGCTGCGCCGGAGAGAAGGGAACGACTTTCTCCAGACCTCCAAACGGCGGTTCCTTAACCTGGTCTCCGGAAACTTCCTGCCAATTCTCTGTCCCCAGGAGACTTCTGAACACCACCACTACCTGGATAAAGTTCTATTTTTTGCAATGCTAACGAAAATAAAATTCAATATATAAACTGAGAACAGATACAGTTCCCCAAAAGCAAACTGGACAGATGCAATCATGAAGTTCCTTTCAAACATGGACCCTTACAATCTAACCTATTTTGAATCTTCTTTATAATATATACTTCATACTTTTTAAAAAATAGAACTCTAAACTGAATTCAAGATACAACCAGTTTTCTCCCTGGAGATTTATACACCCTGTTATAAAATCAAAGCTATTTCTAAATCATGAGGGGAAAAAAAAATCCCACCCTAGAATGTATGATAAATTATTATTGAAGGGACTGACAAAAGATCCTTATCTTTCAAAAATAAAAATGCTGCAGAATTATTCAAGTTTACAGTACTGAAATATTTAAAGAACCCCTGCGATAGGTCAAAAACTGATTTTTAAACCAGACAAGACCACTCTAGACACTGTGAGTGCGCACGCCCTCCACACATACAGGCCCACACAATCAGACACACAAGAGGAATATTCTGAAAGCTAAATGAATCAAATTAAACCATAAGCAAATTTAGACATAAGTTTTAAATGTGCCTATTCCCTCAGGCTAGCTATCTTTGTTATTTAAGACTGACAAAGTCACACAGCAAATAACAACATGGGCTTTCTAGGTGGCACCAGTGGTAAAGAACCCGCCTGCCAGTGCGAGAGACATAAGAGACGCGAGTTCCATCCCTGGGTCGGGAAGATCCCCTGGAAGAGGACATGGCAACCCACCCCAGGATTCATGCCCGGAGAATCCCATGGACAGGAGAGCCTGGCGGCCTAGTTATAGGGTCGCAAAGAATCAGATACGACTGAAGTGAATTAACACAGACATAAATTAATTTGAAATTTCCTATATTCATTTCTTCTACACTCACTGCAAAATAGTTGATTCAACTGATAAAAAAAAAATGCCTATCAATGACAAGGTTGCTGATTTCATCCCCGTCTGGTTTTGTGGTTACCAGCACGAGCTTTCCAATGAATAACACAGGCTTTCTCGCACAAGGGACTAAGGTTCAAATCCTGACTCTGTCAGTTACTAGCTGTGTGGGCCTCAGCCAAATTATTTAAAATCTCCTCAATGCACATATATAAAATAAGGATAATTAACAAAAAAGGATAATAAATATTTAAACTCCATACCTGTAAGGGCTAAACCCCAATAAAGCATACTCAACAGGAGCAGTATGAGAAGTATCACTAAATGACTGATATCACTCAGCACGCATCTGCTCAACTTGGAAAGAGAATCTGCCTTTGACTTTGGCATAAACAGGACCAGAAAACTTGTAACATTTTAACATCTGAAGGTGAAAGTGAATTCGTCAGCCATGTCCAAGTCTTTGCAACTCCATGGACTGTGGCTCTCCAGGCTCCTCTGTCCATGGGATTCTCCAGGCAAGAATACTAGAGTGAATTGCCATTTCCTTCTCCAGGGGGTCTTCCCGACCCAGGGATGGAACCCAGGCCTCCTGCATTCCAGGCAGATGCTTTAAACTCTGAGCCACCAGGGAAGCCCCTTTAACCTCTTCTAACTCCTTTCAAATTCAGTATTATAACTCTATTTTCCCTCCATTAAGATAAAGTCAGTGGTAAGGAAGGACTTTGTATTTCATTACTTTTGTATCTCCAATAGTTTTCAGTACAATGTTCAAAACCATTCACTGTTTTCCCATGACAATACATCTCATATATCACTGAACAGGGTCAGGTGTGAAAGAGCAAATCAGACCAGGTTCAGAACACTCCCTCCGCGGTGGTGAGCGTGAACCTGGGAGGCAGAGACCCAAGGCTGAGTCCTAGCCTTACTGGATGGGTGACTGAACACAACTTAACCCGAGACTAAGAAGAAAGAGAGTAATTCAGAATGTGTAAGGTCAACATTCTAAAATATTTCAGGAAATTCAGTTGTGAAGACTCAAAAAAACAAAACAAAACAATGGTAATAAAAGGCGATGCAGAAAATACTAACTCATCAGACACGCATAAAAAAAATGGAATGTTTTACTCATATCCAGCAGTATTATGTGGATGAATGAACTAATGCAATGTAACGTGCAAGCAGAAAAGGAATTTTTGAAGAGGGACTAAAATGTCCATACTTCACTAAGCCAAGTCTCCAACGGCAAGGCCCAGCCCTGAGGACAGAGTCATGAGCTCAGGACAGGAGAGTTCGTTGTTTTATCTACAAGGTCCAGTGCTTTTAGCAGATAAAAACAATCTAAGAAAGCACTGCTGCTGCTGCCAAGTCACTTCAGTTGTGTCCGACTCTGTGCGACCCCACAGACAGCAGCCCACCAGGCTCCCCCATCCCTGGGATTCTCCAGGCAGGAACACTGGAGTGGGTTGCCATTTCCTTCCCCAATGCATGCATGCATGCTAAGCCGCTTCAGTCATGTCTGACTCTGTGTGACCCTATGGACAGCAGCCCACCGGGCTCCTCTGTCCACAGGATTCTCTAGGCAAGAATACTGGAGTGGGTTGCCATTTCCTTCTCCAGTAAGAAAGCACATATTTTGAAAACGTTAACTTTTATGAAAAATTGAATTTGGGGAAACAGAAAAAGGTATCTGTGTTGTACTGGTCTCCAACTGTGGGTAAAGTATTTCTCTACACATGGAAAAATTCATTTGGCTGCACTTTCCAAACCACAGTAGAAAACTAAGTCCCTGTAATAATTCTATAGAAGTTGAATATCTCGTTTCCAAACCTACATCTATTCCAAAAGGTCACAATAAACTACTACTGATTTCAAAGCATTTCCCAACTTTAATTATTCTAGCAGCAAACATAAAGAATGACAAGGAAGTGAAGATGAATACTGTCATAAACACTATATTAAAATCAATCAAACGTAACACATTTTATCCCTCCTTGTTCATTATGCACCACAGAAAATGAGGTAGGAAAAATGCCATGTGCTGCCAGTCACTATATTTATTCATAATTAAAATAAATCTTGGGAGAATCATTATACAAAGATGAAGTTATGCATTTAATACTTTCTTAAGGTTTACTTAATCCTGTTAAGATGGTGGTCACACCTGTTAGAAATGTTATTGGTTTACATTCCATCCAAGTAACTTTGTAACTTAAACATTAGAACAAAGTCCAGCATTACCTAAAAGAATTTTTTTAAAAGTCTAACACCCAATAAATAAAATTCACAATATCTGCCATCCTAAAATCTACAAAGAAACAGGAAGATGCAACCCAAACCAGGAGAAAAATCAATAGAGACAGACCAGAAATGACTCAGGTGGATCTCACAGAGATGAAACACGTGTGAAATGAAAAATACTCTGGAAAAGATAAAAGCAGATTAGCTACAACAGAAAAAAAGATCAATAAACTTGACGATACGGCACTGGAAACTACCCAAAGTTAATCAGAGTGAAAAAGACTGAGAAACAAAAAAAAAGGAAGAAAAAGAGAAAGACCAGAGCATCAGTCATCTGCAGGATAAACATCAAGCAGGGCAACATACACGGGCTTCCCTGACGGCTCAGTTGGTAGGAGACCCAGCTTGAATCCCCGGGTCCAGAAGGTCCCCTGGAGAAGGAAATGGCAACCCACTCCAGGAGCCTTGCCTGGAGACTCCCATGGACGGGGGGGCCTGGTGGGCTACAGTCCATGGGGCTGCAGGGTCGGACGTGACTGAGTGACTGACCCTTTCACATTCACTTTAGAATGGATATAAGTACAGTAAAATTAATACTCTAAAACTAGCTAATGTAGTTACTAATCAGGAAAAAAATCCAATTTCTAAGAATTCTATTCCATTTAGTAAGAGTCGGACACAAACTAGTGACTGAACCACCACTAGTGTAACATATGTGTTACTGGAGCTCAAAACAAGAAAAGGGAGGAACAGAAAAAATTCTCTGAAGAAATAAGGCCCGAAATTTTTCCAAATCTGGGGGGAAAAAAAAAAACAAACGCAGCAGCTCAAAGATATAAGAATCTCAGCAAACTCCAAGCAATAGAATTATAAGAAAACTACCAGTTTTTGATTATAAGTATTGATTATGAGTATCATAATCAAATTGGTAAAAAACCAGTGACAAAGAGAAAAATCTGAAAAGGAGCCAGAGGAAAACAACTTAGTTTGGAAGTGTTAACTAAGAATATCATGGGGGGTGGGGTAGGAGGGGAAGTTGAGCAAAAGTTCATTGTCTTTCCTTTAAAAAAAATCATGTAGACACAAAATCTAGGAAAATAGATACTAGTGGTAAGTTAAGAAAAAAACTTGCATCACTTCAAGTAACTAACCAAAAGCATCCAAAACCTC